TTACAGGGCACTATCAAATTAATCCTTAAAAATAGTTATTATTTTGATGAAATATTTTGGACCGAGGGAGCATATACTCACACTTTTTGCTATATATGATAACCCAGAGGCAATGCCCGGATTATAGCAGTAATGATTTCATATATGTGAATTTTAGAAGCTCTGCTTGGCTGTGTGAAAGTAGTTAAGCCTGAATCTTTTAAAATCGACTTATCTTTAAAAGTTAGATAAGTTCAATATAGTTAGTGTAGTGGTGTAGAACTTGCGGTAGGTCGATTCTAACAATGTTACACTTTCTTAACAAGGTATTTTGCCTCATCAACAGCTTGGTAAGGCATTTAGCTGTTTAAATTGTGTGGAAGACTTTCTTTTACGTCAATTCACTGTGACTGTGACGGCAGATATTATTGCAACTATAGAAGCTGATACAAAAAATTGTAACTCGATGTTTTTTGGCAATCAATGTGTTTTTGTTTCTTATTCTTACCACCCCGATTATTTTGTTATGTATTCACATTATTGTCTCGTCTTCTCCCCATTATCTAAATATTCTTCTGATTCACATTTAAATCTAGGGGAGTACAGCAAATTTTCACTATCTTGTAATGCAGCGATGTGTAACAAGCCTCTCCGATGCAATAGCTCCTTTAAATGCTGCAGAAACAAAAAGTGGTTGCGAGCAGCTGGTGAAGCCAAACTTAGATGAGCCAACAACCATGCTGAAACCAGAGTCATCATCCTTAAGGCTAGCAACGACAGCGCGATCAACCATAGGCCTGCGGATCTGCATCACGGAGTTAACACTACGTTGGGGAATCTCAGCAATCCGCGCAGTACAGCAAATCATGCAAGCGATCGCTTATCTTCATCGAAACGGCATTAGTGCGTTATTTAAAGAAAAAATTTATTAGCACGCTCTATTTATTAGATAAGCTAATTTTTTAAGGCTTTCTTAATAAATTCATGTCGTTGTGCCTTTGGAAATTGCGATTGGTTTGAATTCATAATTTTGTCTCACCAACAGTCAAAAGAGGATTACTTTTGAAGTGTAGCTGTGGATTTGTGCTAATAAGTCCTTGGTCCACTGTCCCATGACCCAAGCAATCAGAGTTGCACTACCACAATCTGGGTTAGAGTCCCAATGGGTTTGCGGATAAGACCTAGGCGAAGTCGAGACTGCAGCCTACTCTAGCTTATTATGAGAATACCGTTTGAGAAGCAAGGCCATGTGAAATGCAATGGAAACGTGAGGCCTACTTATATGATTGTAGTAAAAGTAAACTATCAGTCCTTCGTCATCTTAAACGAAATAGGGCGTATACATCTACTACATATCATCAACTGGTAGTCTCCAAAACCTACTTCGAAACGAAAAAAGTGTTACCACTACAACGCTGTCACGGGGAAGTCGTGAATTTCCAGGCTAGCCAGGCCTTCTTCATATTACATATCATAAAATAACGCTAAGCACAGATGAACCTTAGTTTGGGGACAGTGATTTGGAGTTTATTCTAACAAATAAAACAATACCAACAACAAGGCAATCCTTCTTCACCTTTTAATGAGAAAAATTTATAAATCCAATCCTCTCGCCGCTTAAAATTAAAGTTACGATATAATATAAGTTTTGTATGAGAGTAGGGTTTCGAGACTACCAGTAAATCAGTATAATGAGATGTATTTACCCTATTTCGTCTAAGCTG